GTCATGTGGGTATCATCTGCAAGTGTGGGTATCATCTGCAAGTTCTTATGCATATGCCCTCTCTTCTTATTAGCTGAATGCTTCACTCTCCACTGTAGTCCTCTGTGGTTATGTCACTGACTCTGGGCCCAAGAGTCCCCAGGTCTTGTCACACTGCTGGCCACCTAGGTCTCCACCCAGATTCACAGGAGTCTACTGAACGTTGTAGGGCTTACCTTGCAGGTTCATTGAGATAACAAGAAAAAAATGGCTTCCACCAGAATGGATAATAGAGGAGACAGTTATTTCAAAGTGAGAAAACAACTTAGAAACTAAAAAGCAAGGACAAGCTTAACTTTGGAAAATCCATTATGTAACATTAAATTTCTTGCTTCTCAGTTTAAAAGAAAATTTCTTCCATCTTGATAATGAAGTCATTACCCAGTATGTTAGGGAAAAGAAGGGTGGGGTGAACCTCCTAACTGAAGCTTATATTTTTAGAACAATTTTCACTGCTTTGGGATAAGGAAGAAGGCAAGGGAGGGGAAGTGAGAAACTTTGATGTCTGGAACCGATCTGTTGATCAGGCCTTTTGCCCTCCTGTTGTACATAAACACTCTTACAGGTACCAGCTTCAAAGTAGAGCACCATGAGACCATGATTAAATGACACAAAGCAAATACATTTCAGAATTTTTCTAAACAAAATGTCTGTACAAAACAAGGTTCTTTACAATCTATAATACATCAAATATCTTCCCCTCTTTCTCAATTTAAAACAAACCCCAGCTTCCTTAGACTCTTACTAATTTCACCCCAACCAAAACCCAAGTCTTGTAATAGAACACTGAAAAACTGGCAGGTAGAGCATGTCTGACTTTGTCCAGATTTACAAGGGGGAAGGAGAGTCCAACTCAAAATCAGCCCACAGATAATTCCTCTGAAGTGGAAGTCAAATATGTTTCCATCCTCTAACCATCTATATCCACTCAGCTCACCAACCAGCCCTCCTTTGTCCTTCTCTGCTTCTGAGCTGACTCAGCAAAGGATAGACTTTCAGTGAGGTGAGCTGACATCATCACAGCAACAGTGAGCTCAAACACAGACTGTGAGTAAGGTGCAGGATCCGAGTTTCATTCTGTTGGATCTGAGGACACAATGAGTTGGAATCATTTAGACAGCGCCCAACAACAACTTTTACTATCCAAGTGTGTTTGATGATCTTGGGCTGAAAGGCATTAACACTCAAATATGAGAACAATTTCCCTTCAACATCTCTTTTCCTTTATATAACTGTTCCTCAATGCTTATCAAAAACATTTATGTATGTCTTTATGAAATTAAGTTCTTGAAGTAATAGCTACTAAAACTAAAATTTTAAATGTCACACAGTTTTGGTGTCAAAAATTATTGTCACAATTTACATAATTTCAAATCTAAATGTGATTAATGTCTACATCAATACTATCACAACTCAAGAAATATCACCTAAATAACAGAGTGATCCTGTAGTCATGAACTAAAAGGAAAATCCTAACTTTGTTGTTGCTGTTGGGTGCAGCTGAGATGGTTCCTACTCATAACGACCCTGCATAGGCTTTCCAAGGAGCAGCTGGTAGGTTTGAAGCACTGACCTCATGGTTAGCATTCCACTGCTTATCTTACAATGCCACACTAGGACGCTTAAGTCT